GTGTTACTGGGCTTTGTCTCTAAATTACTCTCTAGGGCTTGTCAGAAACCCATTCAGCACTAAGAACAAGAGTCTGAGAAGTCCGGATTTGGCTTTTGACTCAGTCATCCCTGTTTTTCTCTCTGCTCACAGCAGAACTCAACTTCCTTTTCGAATGTCCTTCACTAGTGGAGGAGCTGTTTGATTTACTGTAAAAAATCCTCCAATTGGATCAAATGTGGTTTGTAAAATTAATGAAAGGCTGACCTGATTGTCTTGTGAAGGTAATTCAGAGAGACATGCTAGTGCTCCTGACCCTCCTGACAAACAAGGACATTTCCTTTCAGCAGTGGTGTTTGTGGACCTCTCCTTATCAGCACCCCATACCCCCAAACCTGGCTGGCTTCTAAAGCCAAGCCAAGCTAAAGGCTTCTTTTCCTCTGTGCTGGTTTTGTTGCAGCGTTTCATGTGAGCAGCTGGTTGTGCAAAGGATGCTGGGCTATAAGTGCTGTCACTGTGACCCCTGCTCTGTCAATATTATCACATTGACTCGCTGCTTTCATCGCAGTTTAAATAGCCCAGACATGCAGTTAAGAAATAAATGGATAATCAAAGCTTTTCCTCTAATTCTGTTTTACATCGCAAAAGTGGAGAGTAAGGATCAAAGGATCACTCTCTGCTGCTGATAAAATAAAGCCTGGAAACAGGGATGTTCCTGTCGGCTTTAGGGGCACGGGTTTCAAGCCGTGAGCGCGCTTCACGGGCGCTGATGTGCGCGGAGCGCCTTCCTCCCCGTTTCAGGGCTGATACCTTGTGCCTGCCCTGCCCTCCAGTGGCCCAGTGCAGCCGCAGGGCCGGGGACTGCTGCTCTGCAGGGATCCACCCGTGATGCTCCAGGCTGAAAGAAGTGCTGCAGGTGGGGAGGTTTGCACCACGGCTGTGAGTTTCACGGGTGGAGAGCTGAGTGATGCCAGCAATGAGCACGTACGGTCCGTTTGAGGCTTTCTCTGGCAAGTGGCGGCGATGAAAGCAGCATTGTGCAATCGGCGATCAGATCTCCCAAATTGCTTTTCTGCTCCTGCCTCTGGGAGCCACATCGCCCGGGAGAATGGAGTACTAAAGATTTCAAATTTCTGTCTGGGTGGGGAGAGAGATGAAAATATGGTTAACAGAATTTTTTTCCTTACTTTAACAAACTGTTTGAATATTCAAGCTTTGTAGCTGCAGCTCTCTCCACAGAGAGCAGCAGGCACGACTTCCCCAGGCATTTTCCAGGGGAAGGCTGTGAGAAGATCAGAGAAAAGAATGATTAACAATTCTTATCTCCACTTGCTGCACTTGTTGTTGTGCACATGTGGAATGTGTTACAGAGGTTTGTACCTCTTTTCTTACCAAAGGATGATCTCTTAATTGGACACTGGATGCTGTTTGGGTTGATTGACCAGTTAGGTAAAAGCTGTATCAGGCTGTCTGTAAGGGGATGGGTTTCTTAATAAGTATAGTATAGTATAGTAGAATATAGTAGAATAAAGTGATTGATCAGCCTTCTGGAATCATGGAGTCAATGCTAATTATTATCTGGCTGGGGGCCTGCAATGACAAACCTTTCCATACAATAAAGAGATGGAAACCAGTAGCATTCCAAGGAGAAGTGCTAAGCAACAAAAGGATGTTCTGCGTTTTAGCCTTGACAAAACAGTTCTTTGGTTCCTCTGCACAGACACTGCTCCATAGAGTAAAAGGGTTTTAATGCAGCAGTATCACCTCTCAAAACAATCAGAGTGGCCAACAGACTGAAAGAAGAGTCAAAGGGAATAGTCAAAGCAAGGAAAACTTTTTCTCAGTAGGTGGTGGAGAAGCCTGAGGATTATGGCTAAATGAGATAGGATTCAAACATCTGGGAAAGCAATTATTGTCTTGCTTTCCAAGGACAACTCAGGACAACTTTTTGGGTTGCAGAAGTCATCTCTAAACCCCCTTTCCAACCTGGTGTGTGACATCTGTTTTCTTAGGACAACATTTATAGAATAGACAGAGCAACAACTTGAGAATGTAATGAGCAAGTGATGGCTCAGGGATGAGATTGTAGAATGAATTCAGAAGTCTTGTCAGGGTCTAGAGACTGAGGTACAACTGAGAGACCAGTCAGTCCTTCTTCCACTGCTCCAGTTCAGGACCTGTGCTGACATAATTGTAATCCCATTGAATCCCAAACTATATGCCTACTAAAAAATCCCATGCTACTGTTTTTGGCTGTGCTGTCACTCCTTACTGGTGTTTTGGAATAGAGACCTGGGCAGTCCCAAAATTACATCCCTATGAAGATCCCACCATTATAGCCTAGCCCATGTAAGGGGGAAAAGAACAAGGATGACAGAGATTTACAGTCTGACAGTTTCAACATTAATAGGAGTGCCTGAACAGCACAGTTGAAATGCTTTTGATGTCACACAGTTCCTCAAGGGCTATTACTTGGCACCTTGTGGCTTAAGGCAAGATTCAGGTACTAGGGCCAGCACGTGTTATGGCAAAACAAATATTCATAAATATAACAAACCTGACAAGCTCAATAATTTGTTGCACTCAAGGATGCAAAAACACAGCAGAAGATTTGGTGTAAATCTCAGTTCACAATATGCAGGCAATTTCTTTCATCTGCATGATAGTTAAGACTCACTGGAATTAAAAAGTAGGTGTTTCTTAAACAAAAAATAGTATAGCCCTATAGGAAGTACAGTCCGTGATACAGAGCAGTAAGTACAAACATAGGGAACAGGAATTCTTTGCTAATTATACAGGAGGAAGCTCACTCATTTCTAATCTAATAAAAATGAGTAGGAAACCTTAAAATATCATACATTTTTCCATAGACAATACATGTTCATAGTTTGGAGGTTACTCTTATCCAATTTCTGCTCTTCTTCCAATGTAGCAAAAAATTAATCAGAAAGAATAGATTCATGGTTGACCTGCACTGTTGATGAGAGAAAACCTAAGAAAAAACAGGCATCCTTCATACAAGAAAGTTCCAGTTCTGAGAGGTAAAGATGGGCTGAGTGGAAGAAGGCAGCTGCAGAGTAGGAATCTGCAACATAGTTACACAGCCTGTATAACCTTTGGAGATATTCAATGGAGACAAACCAACATTGCAAGAAAACTGCCCCCCTCATCCCAAAAAACAGCTCCAGACAGATTCATCTAACCTGTGGGAGATCTTGATGCAGAGACAAAAAAAAAGTTGCAGAAGCATCTCTTTCTCTGTTGATTGTAAAGGGAGACTGGACAACAAACTGAGATGCAGAACCTGACAGTACATAGGTATGTACTGAGCAGTGAACTCTGTTTCCTTGTAATAGTGCTGGATTGTTGTTTGGTTCTGCTGTTCTGCCACCCCAAAGATAAACCTGAGAAATGGGAACTGGTGCTAGACCTTCTCAACCATACCCATGACTATCTTCCAACATCTTGTAAGGAAAACCCTCTTTTTCTGTTTAGACACAAGAGCTACTGACCTAATAGGAGTTTGTTTTTCATAAAAGTTCATACACCACTGTATGCCTATGAAAATAGCAGGAACTACAAGTCTGCTTCCCACTGTCAAAAATAATAGCAATTATCATATGTTTAATGTGTGCTTAATGTGCTTAGTGTGTCTTAAGATACTCAGCACTTTCTATGCCTGTTTGGCCTGTAGGTTGCCCAGTACAGCTTACATTGTTTCTACACATGGGACAGTCAAATCACTGTACAGGTGATTTTGTGTTGGCCTCATTTCTCTCTGTGCTGTTTTTGGCTGGGGTAGGGTTAATTTACTTTACAGTGACTAGTGTGGGGATATGTTTTGGATTTGTGCTGGAAACAGAATTGATAATTCCAGGGTATTTTCATTATCAATGAGCAATGCTCACTCAGCATCAAGGCCTTTTCTGTTTCTCACCCATCCCAACAGCAAGAGGGCTGGGCATGCACAAGGAGATGGGATGGGACACAGGACAGCTGACCTCAACTGATCCCAGGAATACCCTAGACCATATGCTCATGCTCAGTGTGTAAAACTGGGGGAAGAAGCAGGGGGAACATTCAGAGGGCTTTCCTGAGGATGCCTGAACACCTGCCCGGCAATGGGGAGTGAATTTCTTGTTTTGCTTTGCTTGTGGGCATGACTTTTGCTTTACCAATTAAACTGTCTTTATCCCAACCTAAGAGTTTTCTAACTTTCACTCTTCTGATTCTCTTCCCCATCACCTGGGGCGGGGGGAATCAAGCAAATGTCTGTGTGGTACTTAGCTGCCAGCTGGGATTAACCCATGACACTCTCTTAAATTTTTCCCAGTGGCAGCTGCTTAAAAAGAAGAGCTATTACATATGAAAGTGCAACTTTAAACAACATTCCAGTTCTCCAAATCAAAATTTGTGTAGACATGGTAGCAGAATAGTGTTTCTGAAAGTACTACAACCTCTGAAAACGGAAATTAGATAAATTGAGCCAAAGAGATGTTTTTAAAATTAGGAATCCTAGCCTACAAAAAACAAAGTATTAGTTACATTGGGAAAACCCTAATTTTCAGTTAAAAGGTTTTTTTGATATTAATTCATTATGGTTTTGCTCTGGTGATCTCACTTCTTAAGCCTTCAGGTGATGGGTGTGTGTCTCTCCATAAAGCCAGAACACAAAGTATTACTGTAGATGAGTTCACAAGTATGGTTGGCATAGGTTTGCCATTTTCCCTTGTTTCTCAACAAGGGAAGTAGCTGAACCTGCCAAAAAAAAGCTTGGTGGTGCAGTTGGCAGAGACAAAATTTATAAAGTTCTTTAAAGATAGTGACATGGAGATGGGGCAGCAGCTCCAAATAGTGAGTGTCCTGAATCAGCATATTTCTGTACTGACCCCTTCCAGACAGGGAAAATTAAAAAAAAAAAAAAAAAATCAGCATCTGCTATCAGAATTCTCTTCATTGCCAAGCACAACAGAGGTCTTCCTACCATATAAAATTAGTGAATTAGGATTCATCTCTTGGGACCCAATGGAGCAGGAGTTTAAAAAAATGTTCTTAAACACCATTGTTCATTGCTTTTACTTTATTGGGTAGCTGATACCTTGTAAAGATAAACATTAAGAAACACCATCCCAAAACTTACACACTTTTAAGAATGTACAGAGCTGTGGCATTGTAATTGCAGGGATTTTCTTATTAGTACTCCATTTTCTAAAACAATTTTCCAGTTCTGATAGCAAAAGTATTTTCAAAGATAAATTTCAATTCCAATTTTATGTAGGAAACAAAGTATAATGCTTATTGGTTATTGTTTCATGTTGGCTCTTGAGAAGTTGATTGTGGATTGATTGCTGGACCCAGAAGGAGCTGCTGGTGAGGGCAGCAAGGTCATTTTCATTTGCTTTTATCTACAGAGAAGAAAAAGACAATACAATATCATCTTTCAAAAGAAAATCTCTTCTTTGCAATTTGTCACTCAGAGGTAATAATGGAGAAGGAGTGCTAGGAGCTAGAAAGAATGATTATTGCTCCCTCGCTCTACTGAAGCTTTAGCCTTTAGTCCTCTCTATTAGAAAATCTTTTCCCTAAGGACAGAGTAAAACAAATAGGATACTACACTCTGCTGCTGCTACTGATGCCCTGGATGAGGCTCACTGTAAGGGAGCTTTAAAGAATGATACCATGAAATGTGGAAAAGTTCATTTTACCCTCCGACCATAGCAGGTTTGTTCCTGTCCCATATTAATTACCACTAAGAACAGACTCATTTTGTCTGAGGTACAGACTAAGGCTTTCTCTTCACCTATTGGGAAATCATTTCTCAAACTAGCTGATCTCATTGTTGATACACATTTGCACCCAAAACTTCAGCTTGGATTTTGGCATGCTTCCTGTCGCTCACTGTTCCCCCAACCCATTTTTATCAACTCCCCTGCTGTAGCAGACAGCATTTCAGCTGCAGTTGGCACACAGCAGCAGCATGGCTTGACTGTGCTTGCTGAAGGACTTGCCTGGTTTTTACCTTTTTCTGAAGCATTTCCTCTGCTTGTTAAACAGCTGGAGAGTGAGGTGCTGTCGCTAGTCCTTTTTCCCTGCTGCCTCACCCCACTCATATGCTGCACTGCATTGATCTTTGCTTGGTTCTTCTAAGAGATACTTCAACTCACCAAGGCAACAGAAAACTAACCCAGGAAACAAAGTTAATTGATTTCTGCTCGCAGAAAGTTCTGCCAAGCGCCAGGGCATATACAAGGACTGTCAATAACCAAGTTACACACTGTGAACACTGCAGAGCAGGGAAGGGGAGATGCTGGGTGTTACTCCTGTTAGCAGTGATGAGCTCGCACTAATTCAAACACTGCTGGCACTGCCTGCAGCACCTTTACACGTGTACTCATGCAATGGTGTGGATTGGAAGGAAGCTTAAAGATCATCTAGTTCCAGCCCCTCTGCCATGGGCAGGGATGCCTTCCATTAAACCAAGCCGCTCAGATCCCCATCCAACTTGGCCTTGAACACTTCCAGAAATAGGGCATACACAAATTCTCTGGATAAACAGTTCCAGTTCCTTACCAACTTCACAGTAAAGAATTTCTTCCTAATATCTAATCTAAACCTACTCTCCCTTTCAGTGTAATTCCATTTTTGTCCAACCTCCATGCCCTTGTAAAAAAAATCCTGCTCTCTTATAGGCTTCCTTTAGATACTAAAAGGCTGCTCTAAGGTCTCCCTGGAGCCTTCTCTTTTTGTGAAGAGAGCTTTTGTTTTTGCAAAACAAATCTATCAGCTTAACCCAAACAGCACATTTGTTGGGGGGTTATTGTCTGTAACACAGGGACACTAACAAATTTAATTTTTCACATCAAGCTGTCTGTAAATTTGCAAGTCAAACAGTCATGCTTCATTTTGTACCCCTCTTGCTAACTGAACTCAGGTTTTGTGTGGGCCTTCATACCTATGTCTCAGTCTGGCAGCTAAACTTCATCACTTCCTTTCAACTGAACTTTTTAAATAAGTTTCCAATCAAAATGAGTTCTCCATACCTGGGATGCCAGAACTTTTTGTGAAATTTACAGATACCAAGACAATTCAGCTTCTGAGAGGGCTTATTTCAGACAAACCTGTCACCAGATAGACAGCCTGCTACCCTTTTGTTTTCATGAAGACTCAGAGGAGCATTAAGTAGTCTTTACTAAGCAAAAGGGAAGGTTACCTGCAACAGCCAAAACTGGGGAACGAGCCTGTTATTTTTGCGTGACAGGGGTTCCTGAGACCGTGCCTGTATATGGTGCCCTCTTGACAGGAACAGGTTGACATACCTGCAATAAAATGTTTTAAATCTTTCACTATTTTGTCTTCTCTTGCAATTGCTAATTGGATAAAATTGAAATAGAAGTCCTATGATAAACTTTCTATTACATGCATCCCAATACTTTAATCTAACTTCTCCCTGGAAAAGATCTCTTGCACTGGGATTAAGCTGTTTTGTTCTCAGATTTCATCAGGAGCTGGAGGCTAAATCTGCTCGACACTGTAGCAATCCAAATCTAAATCAATTTTTTAAAGAAACAACAACATGTTCCACCTCATTTTATGGATTCTTCTATTTGTTAGAGTATTTACATTTTTCAGTGGTGTTTTTAATACATCAGATAAGAGAGGTAAATAAATATCAATGAAGAAAAGCAAATTCTGCCTTTTGTAGATGTCTATCACTCACTATTCCAGTTGCTGGCTGCAGGGGGCTGAGCTGGTTGAAAAACCACTTCTGAAGACATGCTGCAATTGATATTTGAGTTAAGGGAAAATTCTCTCTAGCTTTGATGGGAAATTGAAACCACTATGTTCATGGAAGTCTTTCAGAATTGTGTAATTATCAAATTTCTTATAAATTTCAGTTTAGTTTAGTTTTGATACTGTATTGTGTGTATGAACATGCAGGCAGCTCATTACATCCTGTGAAATTGTGGTCTTTGGAGGAAAGCATCATTCAGCCACTTTCACATGCCCTTCTCAGTCCATCAAGACAACAGAAGAAAGAAATACACAGAATTATTTTGGGGACATTTCACTGGGCCTTATTTCACATGGATTCAGCTTTTAGATCCTGCAATGAATCCTGCTGATTCAGGTGGTGATTTTAAAATGTACTTACTCAGTGTGCTTTCAAAAATCCTATTCACAGTACACTAAGGATGCAAAAGCATCATGGATGCTTGCACAGTAAATAGGCACTGAAAATCCAATCTTTATGTATTTGAGATATTTCTCTTTAAAAAATAGAAGAGAACAAAAGCTTCAACAGAGCTATCTTGCTGGGCCCAGCAGTGCCCTTTGCAGATGTTCCATTTTAACACATTCTTGCTGGAACACAGCAAAATGTTCAACACTCTGCAGAGTTTAGCTCAAAATATCTGATCCATGAAAGAATTTAAAAAATTTTTATATCTTCTTTGGTGCAATATTTCTTCCTGCATATGAAATTTGGGCTCTCTGATTTTCAGTGAAATCAGTGATGAAATGTAGCAGTTAGATTACCCAGAAGCAAAACTTTGTCCACTTTTATTGCAAGTAGGACATGCTTATTTTTAAAAGTACTGAGGCTTAGTTCCCAAGCTGGACAAACTACTGTAAGAGTCTATGATATTTTTCTGTAAGATAAAGAGCAATAAAATTTGAGTCCTTAGTTTCCTTTCCTCCCACCTTGGCATATTTTGATTAGTAAGGAAAATTACCACTGAATCCCCAAACTTCTTTTCCCAAGAGCTAGTTATCCTCATGTTGTACAAGGCATTACAGAGATTTATTAGTTTAATTAACCTGTTCTCGCTGTCTGACTCGTTTGTAGACATATGGAGGGAATGGTGGACGGGAGACATATTTGCCTTCTCCTGCTGTGACATTGAAAACTCCACATTCATAAACCACTTTGCCTCTTGAAACTGTCACAACTGGAACTCCATGGCAGACCATTCCTTCAAATATATTGAAGTTATTTGCCTGGTGATGTGTCTTTGCAGATATTGTCCTGTGTTTGCAAAACAACACACAGAAATTACTATGATTCGTGCATTTGACTTCATTATAAAATGTTGATAAATTGATATAGGAAGAAAATTTAGCAACATTATTTAAATACAGCCCTGTACAGTACATCATAGAGCAGCTGTAAAAATAGGATAGTGCAATAACATTTCATTGAACAGTAATTGCATTTCAAAAGAATGAAAAGGGAGTCAAAAGGACAGAACTCAGCAGCCTTTAAATGCAAAATTTTCCACTACAAAAGAGATTAGTGGAAAAAAACCCAGGTTGTAATATTTTCTTTGGATAACATGATTTTATTTTGCCTTGTCAAGCAAATATCTATGCACAATTTGATCAGAAAAAGCTCTGACCTTTTAGCTGGAATGACTTGCAATTTCAAGTTTGAAAAGCATGGCTGCAATGTTTCAAAGATTGAGTCTCACAAATAACACAAAGACCGTTTCACTGGAAGGTCAGTAGATGGTAATGATTTTTGGTAATGCTTAGTGTGAGCTCGATTGATTCAATGACTGACAGCCCAAGTATCTTAGGGCTGCTAAATAATAATGACATCAGCCTTCTACATACCTTTCCTCCAAGGGTATTAAGTAAATTAGAACTTCAGACTTCAACAGTACTCATTTGAATGATTGTATTATTGCTTTTTGTATACATAGACCTCATTCTATTTGATTTCCATTTTTCTAGACAATTTTTCCAACCCCAACTGGCTACCTTAAAGGCAGAGCCAATGCTAGAGCTGACATTACTATCTGGAAGTCCAGGTTGTGTATACTTCCTTTATTGTCGATTTTCCCTACTGAGCTACTTACTATATACTGTAATAACAGACTTGGAATTTCAGCTAATTATTTTATTAACTTCCTGTATCCAAGCTACAGATAAACTCTTTATATTATTTAGAAAGTTATATATTTCTTGTCATTTATAGTTTTTGAAAAGGAAGAGGCTTTATGATTTTGGCTACCAGTCAGGCTTTTTTCAGGACAGGTGCTCATGCAATCAAAAATCTATCATGCATATATTATAATGCATATACATGCATTCATATTATTCCAGAGACTACATATTTTTGCAAAAGAATCATCAAATTCAAAAGAAATATGAAATATTAATAGATGAAAATATTGATCAATTTGGAGAATAATTTTTTTAAAACTTTAGTCAATATCCTTATCAAACACAAAAATCTGTATTTTACTTGAAGTATAGCCATTTTCAAAAACAATCACACTAAATATTCAAAATTATTTCTTATAAAGAGGAAAAAAACATTAATGGAGGGATTCTGAGTTTCCTTTCATATCGTTCTGTTGAACAAGGAGTAATTGATTCTGCTAAGGGCTACATTTAAATCTTGGAGGTAAATGACATTTCAAAGGCTATATATATATGTAAATGCTGTCTATGTCCATCCTACCCATAGGAGTAAAAACTTTGCCTTATACAACACACCTTGGACAGAAAACTTATGCATGCCTGCTCACCAATATCAACATCACCTTGTAGGTTCACACTGGGAAAAATCAAACCTCTCTTGTTTCACTGGTCCTAGTGAATGCTGCCAAACAAATTTATCCATGGTTGTTATAATAGCCGTATTAGGAGTTTCTGAACATATTCCTCTTGCTTATTGCATTACCCTTATGGGTCCAATTGCTAGAACAATAAGTAAGAAGAACTATAACATAATAATCTTCAGCATTCTCTGCATATATGTCCTACCTACTTGCACAATAGCACCAGGACATGAAAAGAAAAATGGAGAGGGTAATTTGAGGAAACAGAAAAATAAGCAAGATTCTTCATCAACATGTGAGCTGTTTAAATGTGCTAGAACAGGATCACTAGAGGTAACCATGCCTCAGAGGTAAGTATGTCCTTCATTTAAAGATACAAAATGAATGGAAGTTGGCACATTTTAAAGTAATATCCATTTGTACAGCTAAACTTTGCACTAGGACAAAACACATTTCCAGACCTTGCCTCAGCAACAAACCTCAATAGAATTAATTTAAAGCTCTTCTGTTGAAACAAGCTGTTGATCATGCTGCCCTTTCTGAAGGTGAAGTGCATTTTCCCTGATGGAAATCACCAAAATTTTCCTGTGATTTAACCCTTTGACATTACCAATGTCAGTAAAAGTTTCAGGTACCAAACAAGGAATCAAATAGAACTAGATGATATGTTTGGGTCTGAAGATCACAATTCAGCAACCTTATGCAACAGATTGTTTACAGCTGTTATCACCAATTTCAGGAGCAGGCAGCTTAGCAAAGTTCTGATGTTTATTCTCAGCTAACGGCAAAAACAGTTGTAACCCACTAATAATCCAAGAAACCAAGACTGCCACCATGGTAGAGTACAACTTAACAGCTGTCTCCAGCATCCCAAGTGATGCCTGACATTAAGGATTACTCAGCATGAAAACAGGTTGTGAGTCCAGGTTTCAAAAATTTGTATGGAATTTTTAAAATAAGACTTGTAAAATTATCTAATTCTGGTTATGAGTTGCAGTGGCTCTTGTTTCAAACAACCCTTTCTCAAATGGAGGCTGAGATCAGAGCAGTTACTTCAACATTTAAAAGAACATTCTCCTCTACAAAGAGGATACTCTGAAGACATCAGGTCCTGCATTGCTCTTACTCACATCAGTGTTTCCTTGCAGTTCACTTCGGTTGCTTTTGATATACCTGGCTTGCAAAGTGATTTGAAGCTATTAATATACACATTGCCGTTCCTCTAGTACCAAAGAGGAAGACATGCTTCTGAAATTGTCTTTTTTCACCACTGTGAAAAAAGACATCTGTCCAACTAATTTAGAGTCAAAGAGTAATTTAGTCTAAGAACAGCTAAGAGATTTGCTCTGTGTGAAGATTCAGTGACAAGCAGTACTGTATTTATTTTGTGCTCTACGTGAGAAAGGACTCTACAGCCAATCCTAGAGTATTGCAACTAAATAAAATACAGACTGCAGCTTGAAACTTGAAAAAGAGCAGCAGCTTAGACTAATGCTGTTGCGGTGCGTTTTGAGGTGGGGCACCCCGGGGTGTCCCCGGAGGATGCAGCAACACATAGGGTGAAATTGAAGACTATACAGATAATCAGCTCAAGTTATGACCTAAAACTTTGTTAAGGAGTTAGAGGGACCAGTTTTCATCTCAACAAACATGCCTATCCTTCAGTCAGAGACTGAAACAGTAAACAGTGAGTTACAGTTGGGCAGGAGGGGGACATGGATGAAGGGAAACCATTAGATATTAGAGTGATGTTATACCTTTCGTAATGCATAGGACACAAAGCTACCTCAGCTCTAGAACCAAAACTTTGACTATCATAAGGATTGTCCTTTTAATTTTCAAGGTCCCATAAGCAAACAGATGAAGAATTTAATTACATTCAATGGAAATGGCTACATACCTCACCCAGATTTCTTTAAAAAGTCCAGAGACAGGAATATGAAGGAAAGCTGTAGATGACAGCCCTCAGGCAAGAATAGCTGTTCAACATTTCAGTAAAGGGAGGACACCTATTTTATAATAAATTAATTACCTAATTTAAAAAACAGTAATAAATTCTGTAATTGAAAACAGCTGCTTTGTTGACAGCTGCTAAAGAAAACCATTTCATGTAGGAGTGAGTATTTGAGCTGTAACTTCTCTCAGTGCTTACAGTGCAGTATCTCTGAGCTTTTCAGAGCTGGGCATAGATGAGAAATGCCACTTTGCTGAGGACAGTGTCAGCCTTTGTGAGTTGCCTCTTCTCATCACCTTCAGATGCCTTTGAAATCTATGTATTGTTAACCCACTTTTCTAAAATCTAGAAAAAAAAAATCTTTCACCTTTCTGTTTTCTGAGTCACTCATTTATAATGATAATTAAGTTTTATTAAAAAGAAAAGCAAAGAACAGGAAAAATAAAATAGAGGAAATATAAGAAAGTCTTCAAATCTGTGTGTAAAAATGCTAGATATAAGCCTATAATGTGGATTAAAAACCTCATGGCCTACTTTATATTAAGGAATTGAAATAAATCCATATGCAAAAATATGCAAGCAACTATTTGTAAAGTTCCTAGCCTCTTAAAAAATATCTTCAATAAACATTCCTTTTGAGTAGTCATATGAATTGAGACGATTTGTAGATAAAAAGAGATGCAAGAAGAGGGAGGAAGTTAATGTTTGGGAGCTTCATATCAAAGTGACTTTTCTGAAGAAATGGGATATTTAATTCATGCAATCATACCTCCTAACATTCATCATTTTAAGGGGGGTAGACAGTGACAACAAAATAATTTTTTATTATGGTAAATAGCTCATTTGTCAACAATATTATCCAGTCTGGTCCTACCAATTCTTCCAAGCTGATATAGAACGGAAGAGAATGTTTGTGAAAAACTGTGGGCAGAAGAGAAGCAGTAATGAAAAAATAGCTTGCAGAAAATAGCTTGCAGAAAAGCATACAAAAAAAGAACACAAATTAGTCTATTCAACGACTAGAGAAGATCTTGAAGTGTTTACAAGGGAAAAAAAAGTCAAAATTATGTAAAGGCAAAATAAATAATTATTTAATTTTTTGGGTAACATTTCTGAGATTCACTTCTCTGAAGAGATCAAGTAACATTTTGGAGACAGCAAGTTACTAGGGAAACAAACATCAAGCACTCTCAGAGAGGCTTATCTTTTTACAGGTCACAGAACCAGTGTCACTGAGGTTGGAAAGCATCTCTGGAGATATCTATTTCAAGCCCTCTGTTCTGATCAGGGTCCATCAAAGGAGGCTTCTCAGGGCCATGTTAAATTGGGTTTTAAGTGCCTCTAAAGAGGGAGATTCACAATTGTTATGGGCAACCTGTGCCAGTGTTTGATCACCATCACAGAAACACAATATTATTTATCATGTTGAAATGGAATTTCCTATATTTTAATTTGTGCCTATTGTTTCCTTCCTCCCGTTTCCTTAATTTGAGATAAGAGGTCTTTGGCAGGATTCTGGTGAATAATGCTTTCACTTGTGCAGAAAAACATGGAGCTATTGAAAATGCCAGGACACACTTGTCCTATGCATAGATATTTGTACACCACATTATTTCATTTTGTCTCATTGTGATTAGATGCAGTCATCCATATATTCAGTATTCAAAATTATGCTCATTCATCAAAAGAGTAAGACAGTTACAGCATTATTTATTCTAATCTTCTGCTAACATTTTGGTTTCTTCCTCTCTTATGTTACTAAAAATTACAGGCAGTTACTTGGCAGAGTGCTTAAACATTGTAAAGTCCCCACTTAAGCCTCTGAGCCTGAAGACTTGACTACAAATGAGACAGACATAGGCTACAGATTTTGGTTCTAACAAATGCAAAAGATTTAGCCATGAAAGTATCTGCATGGAAGCAAAGGCATTGAGGGAACATATGCCAGGAGACAGGGGAACTCTGACATTTTGCTGATTCACATCCAGTAACTGTTTCCCTTAAATTGCAAAAATACTAAAAACAAACTAGAAAACACATCTTCCTCTGTCATTTCAGGCAGGTAGATAACAGAGTGACCTGTCCTTTTCCTCCCTCCTGTCCCCACTAAAGGCTTCCCACATCTCCTGCTGGTCGGGGGCCCCACTCTGGCAGCTGCACTGGGGCTGCAGCCACCACTGCCCTGCTCAGGGCTTGAGCCCAGCTCCTCCAGCACATGTGGGCCTGCCAAAGTGGGCCACTCCAGCAAAGCCCAAAGAGGATGGTGCTACCTGCACAGCCAGCTCTGCCTTTGCAATCAGAAGTATCTAACTTCTCAGCTATATTTAATGAGGGAAAAACCCTGGGGAGTGTGGCTTCCCAATTTGCATGTTGTTATAATGAAGTGGCTGGACTTAGAAAGTTAAACTCTATTTGAGACAGGTTTTTTATCCTTATGGGTGTTTCATCTTGCCTTTGGGACCTGATCCAGAGTTTACTTGCAAGGCTCCCACAGGCTACAGTGAATTAATTGAGTCCTAATGTCTCCTGGGAGCTGGATGCCTCTTTACAAGATCTTTAGGACCTTCTGCCCCTACTTTACAAGGGATGCTCAGCTCTTTTCACTGCCTGAATTGGGCAATGCAGTATTTAGATTCCTTGCTGAGCGTCTCTGAAACAAACCCTAGAGATTTTATACTCTTGCTTGCTTTCAAATAGCTAAAGGCATCAGCTATAGAGGACACTGACTTGCTGACAGGTGAAATTCCCTTTCCCATACTTTGCTTTCTGCTCCTGAAAAAGTCTTTACAGTTGCTTTTGTCTCACAGACTTGGGGCTTTTATATTATTTGTGTGCAGCCACAAAAGAAGTCAGTGAACACTCTTGATCAAAGCACAGATTAAAATAAGATGGTACAGTGAGTACACATTTGCTGCCTACATGCATTTTCCCAAGGAGTTTTCACAGAACAATCCTGTACGCACAGACTGTACTTGGGATGCTGGGGGTGTTGAGGTCTGCAATATGATATTTGATAGCACTTGGCTTGCAATAAACCAACAGATCCCTTTTGTGTTTTTGTGGCCTTTAATGGATGGAATAAGTATAAGAAAGCTAATGAAAACACCTACTTTGGCAGGACTCACAACCCACCTTTTGTAATTGCAGTTTCTAACCAATTTGTACATTTAATGTTTCTTCCCAATAATGCTTGCTGTCATGCAGACATGCTAAAACCAATATTCAGATGCTTTTAAACACAGTAGCAAACGTTATAATTGTTGATATAGTATTTTCTGCAGAAATTACCAGAAAATGCTACAGAAACAGACCAGTCAATGAAGCTGACACTCAAAAGCCTCAGCTAGAGCAGCAGAGTGCTGGAAGCAGAACGTTAAATTGCAATTGCTCCCGGTTTGCAAAGCCATCACCTTGAATTCACTCGGGTTTTGTAACCTAGAAAAAGAAAATCCTGAGCACTCAGATAGCACCTGATGTTAATGTGCAAGGATGTGGGAGAGGAAATGCAGCTGATTTTGTGGGGATACAAGTTTTTGTATTAAAGAGCTGCACTACCTTTCTAAATGACTCTAGAATCTTCTGTATAGACTTCCTCTGGCAGATAGTGATAAGATCAATTCCTCACAGCAATACTTCAGCATTTGTCTAACTCATTAGGCTGGTATCAATCAGAATTTTAAGACTACAGCAAAACAACCTCAAACCAGAACTGGAAAAATGCATTTCCCTCTTGCAAGACTTATAGTTACAAACAAGAAAAAAAGTCATGCACAAAAGAGGAAGAACTTAGCAAGAAAGAGGAACAAACCTATTGTGAAACTAAAATCACTCCACAGAATCAACAAAGCACAGGAGGCTGCGCCTTGTGTAACACCTTAAATGGCTGAAATCCATTAGCTAGATCCCTTTTTTACTGCTGGGCTGTTTATGCCCTCTTCAGGATTTGTGTTGAAATTAAAAGACAAGTTCCAGTGAGATTTATTTATACTTTCTCATATAGTTCACAAAATTGTACCTGCAAAGAGACTGTTCCCAGCAAACCCAAATGGATAAACAATGGGAACTGTACCAGATCTGGAAGAAAAATATTGGCTGAACTTAAAATAAGCTTGCTCAATAAGAAAATACAGTTAAAATGCTTAAAGAAAAACTGCACCTTCACTGCTAAAGAGGGTGAAAAGGCAATTAGAGCACCCAGGAGAGAGTGAAGGGAAGCAGAAGAAATGTTTGAGAGGCAAAAAAAAAAAAAAAAAAAAAAAATATTACAGGGGCTGACAAAGCACCTTGAGAACAATTGTCAGAATTCTGCTATCCCTCTAGATTCATTTGTCCCCAGGCAGAGCAGAAGAGAGTTCAGAAAACAATCCTTCAGGGGTTTTTAAAATCAGACTTCATAGCTCCACTGTCCTGAAATGGCTCAGTGCTGGTATCTCAAAATATGCCTGCTCAACATGCCAAAAGGCACAATGCACACGAAAATCTCCCTGACCCAGCACTGGGCAAGCCTCTATATTTATTTGGGTTGTTGATGCTCCTGAAACTTCTTTTTGCTGGTGCTGTCAGTTTGTCTGTGGGACTTCTAAATAGCAACCTCCATATCCTCAAATGTTGTAGCTTAAAACACAGAAGACTTCACACTTTCACATGTTTTTGGTACTCATTAATATACTGAAATGAGTGAGAAATACATATCAAAAATCAAAAAAACCAGGAGATTGGTGAAAAGATTGGTGAAAATATTTTTGTTTCTCTAGGGGAAATCTAGGATTGAGTAGAGAGTGTGGAGCATGTTATCTATTTGCCTACCAAAATCAGACATCTCCAGTTACGTTTCCTACACCGTGAGCAGAGTATTCAAATTTTTTCTTTTCATACATCAAAGGCTGAAAGCACAGTTGTATGGTCACACTGCTCACTAGAGCTGAGCCCATGAAGAAAACCACCATCCCAGAACACTTCCTGACCTGCTGCTGCTGCTGTGTGCACGGGTGGTCAGAGGCAGGGCTTGGCTCTTGGAGTTCCTGCAGCCTTGAGTTCCTGCACAGCCCTGGAACCGTGGAGATGCACTCACAGAGCTCGTAGGCAGCTCAGCTGAGGGACAACTCCCCAGGTGATCTGGCTCTGACAGACAGCCCTCAGACCATTTCCAGGCAGCCTTAACAAGACCAGGATGGGCACAAGAGCCAGAGCAAGACTCAAGATATAATTCCTGAAATATTTATAGACTCCTGGCTATGGAGTGAATACACCTGAGGAGAGGAATCAGCTGTAAAGCACAGTATGCTGTGTGAGTTCACTTCATGACCTTTCCATGGTATAACCATGGGATCAAGTCATGCAGGGTGAGACACCAGGACACTGGTGTCTGTTTGTGCATCTGTCAGTGCAACAAGCTCTATTCTGGCAGAATTACTGTGCACACAATCAGAAAACTCCTTAAATAAAAGCGTAAGCATGAAAAGATGGAGCTTCAGAAGTAAGTTCAATCTACCTTTGAGCATGCTTTAAGTGGCTCTTAAGTTCAAAACACAAGTTTGTAACAGGTCATGCTGCAGCAGGCTCTTCTCCCTGCCCTTTGCAGTGGAGGAATTCAAACATGCTCGAGCATTAAAAAGAGTTGCTCTAAAATCCCAAAGGAGTTCTTTTTACTCTTAGGATACCAAGCCCTGGTTGCATAATGTACAGACTTTTTAATTTTTGCACTTGGTCAACAATCAGAGAGAATGCTTTTTAATCCATCTAGAGATCAAAGATCTCTCCTCACATATGCTATTGAGGGAGAAAAAACCCTTTCATTAATTCACACGAACCATAACCTCAACTGAAGGCTTATTGTTGTACAAAGGCTTTGTGTTGCTTTTTTCCTGCAGAAAGGCTGGAGGGTGGGGTGGGGGGGGTGAACAACTTCCCATGCATACCTTGTAGCTTTAGGATCCCAAATTACAATGTCAGCATCAGAGCCCACAGCAATTCTGCCCTTCTTTGGGTAAAGGTTAAAGATTTTTGCTGCATTTGTGCTGGTAACAGCTACAAATCTGTTTTCATCCATTTTTCCACTGTGCTGCAAAACAGTACACAAAAGAAAACTCATTACTTTTTTAAACATGGAATGAAAAAATGTTCTTCTTGTTGAAAAACTAGGATGAGTAACATCCATCATTTTTTTAAAAGCTCATACTGAAGAATTTAGAAGTAAAAGTAACTATTTGTCTCAGATGCCCATAATGCAATGTACTTTCACTAAATACAGTAATTTTATCTTACTTTATCCCACAACAAAGAGAAAAAAAAAAGACAGAAACTAAACACTCTGTGGATCCAGCCTCAAGTCAACTGAAATCAAATGTTTTAGCTGGCTTTAAATCTGTAGTCCTGCTCAGCAATTTCCTCAGGAAACATAACATCTCTTGAGTATCTTGGTTTTAAAAATGGTGATACAGTATCAAGGGGAGCCTAGAAGGTGATAAGGCAAGGCAAGGTACAATATATAATATAGGAAAACTGATTTGTGGATTTCTTTAGCAATGACACAGAGTATAGCAGTGATCAGTAACTGATGTGAAATGAAGTAGTATAAAAAACAGATTGCTGACATGACATTTCAGCAAAATACCAAACAACAATGAATATACATGTATCTTGGGACTGTCCACTGCTGTGTAACTAATTTAATCCAGCTTCCATGACTGTTGTTTGTTTGGAAAGCCACCTACACTGGCAGTAATATTGTGCACAGATCAGTCTGGGAATCAGGCTGTCATAAAAGCATGCTTATGATGGTCTGTGAGCAGTCATCTGAGAAGAAAAGTATAATGAAAATGGTGAACACTGCTTTTCTAAGTAATGGTGTGTGGGAAGAGGGGGAAGGTGTTCAAACAAACTCACACAGCTGTGTACTATTTTACAAATGAAAAAAGGGAGGATAATATCAATTGAAGAACTTTTTAAAAATTATCTTGCCCTACATGATGCACTGTTCAAAAGCAGCACTGATGAACACATTCATGTCTCAGTTTCACATGAGCCACAAGCTAGATTTCTGTTTACCCCATAAGAAATCTCACTAGAGCTCTGCCACAGGTGAGTATAGGCACAAGTGTGTGAGTTTTGTACTTACCAGCTGGAACTGAATCCCAACTACAGATAAGCAAGAGATATCATGAATCACATTCTTACCAAGTGTGTGAGGCAGGTAATTATACTGTGACAAATGAATATGCTTCACAGTGCATTATCAGCATGACTTCACTACTGCAAGAGAACTTCAATAGAACCAGAACGTAACAGTTTTGCATTAGCCAGAGCAATCATGACACCTGCTATGCAGCAGATTCCTCAAGAGATTTCCTTACCTCCCCCCTCATCAGACATTGTCTGAGAAGCACTGACCCTTCTTGTGTTGGTACGAGAATCTGAAGTCAGTGGGACTTGAAAATGCTCATTTCATCTTATCACATTGAAAAGCATTTCTTAAAACATAAATTAGAAGTTGACAGGCACACCACTGTGCAAACTCCTCCAATGGCTAAGTTGGAGAGGGATCAAAAAGGAAAAAATACACAGCTGATAGAGTTGAAACTGTAAGCACCTCTTTTATTTTCATTTCACAAGCTGAAAAAAATGCTTCAAGGAAATATACTTGCAGTACCACTGAAACAATAGCAATGCCTTACTGTTAAACAATAGAAATGATTCTTTAGTAAAATACTTTAAACACTAAGAATCTTCTTAGTGTTTAAATATAAATAAATAAATATAATATAAATAAATAAAGTGACAGCTAATAAGGACTGTTATAGCTTTCAATTGAATGAGTTAAAATAAACATGCTTGATAAAACTGAAGAGTTAATACTTGCTGAGAGATTATGTTTTGTGGGAGAAATCAATTACCTCTATGTTTGGACATTTTGATATACTTACAACGCCTTTTTCCCATATGACTGACATCCTATCCTCCACACCATTCACTCCATTAGGGATTTTTGTGAAGTCATCTTTGCCCAGAGCTTTCTGACAAATGTCAAAGGTGCAATTGTCAGTCCCTGTCACAGATAGGTCACCACTGCAAAGAAACAAAGTTTATTATGAATCAGAGCATGTACCAGACAGTACAGAGGAAAACCTGTTGTAAGGCTGGGTTGACCAAGACATTCATCCTTCAAGACAAAAACTGATATGCCCTGCCAGCCTGCCCTCAGTCCCATCTTCCAAGACTGGCTCCACAGTAACAGCCAGTTGCCCTGTGAAGCAGTTTCCTCTTCAGAAACCCTTCAGAAGAAAACAAGCACCAACGCTGACTCTTTTACTCTGGATATGTCAAAGACATCCCGTGTATGGGGGAACTGTCCAGTTTGCCCAGAGCAAGCAGCTTTGTTTCATCCTCACATTGCGAAATGAAATTCCCCAGTCTGTGTCACTCCATATGACCTCTGAAATTACTATGGATCTGCACATCAGTTAGCCTGTGTTCAGGCACACCTTTACAGGCTCTTCTGTCAAATTCAACCCTTTTGTGGAGTTAACCCTTACTGGTAATGAAATACCAGCAAACCACACATCTTGTTAAGTGCAGATATCCTAAAGATACTTCTTTTTCTACATCCTTCTGAAGTAGAAGTTATGAAGTGAATATCTTACATGTACCTTCAGAAGTTAGCAGGCTTAGTTTTATGCAGCATTTGAATTTCAAGTGAAAAAGGCAGCTGACAGCAAACCCCAGAAAAATCTAGCTGTGACCTCACCTTTTACATATTTCCCACTGACTTACAGCCTGTCTTCCTGGTCATGTTACAATTTTTGCTGTGGTATGAGCAAGGCAAGGCTTATTGAATGAAATTATATGTGGACAGTAGGCTGTAAGAGTTCCGAGAAATAAAATATGAAAAGAGAAATTCTTTTCATCTGTGATTTCACCCTCCATTTCTCCTTTCTGATAATGTAACACTCTGTACTTAGAAAATCTCCAGAGCATCAGCCTGCTATTAGGTACTCTTGACAAAACCTGCTGTGCATTTTGGTATCAGTGGTCACTGTTTATTCATCTGCTCACTTGGCCAGTAGGTTCATGAGGAAACCAGGAGTAGATGGATCTGGTCTCAGTGGGGGTCCCATCACATATGCTGCAGCATGAGCCCAGTCTTTATTCCAGTAGTTGGTGCCATCAGTGCCAAGACTTGCAGCAATAGGCTCCCCATAAACCACCTTTCCTGAAAAATGTAAAGCAAAGGTATCATCATCAAACAACATAACAATGCATAACTTTTATTTTCTCTGTGAAGGATCTTTTTGGTGGCAATGAATTTAAATTTGAATGAGTGTTTCAAATTAAGCACCTACATATGGAAGGACATAATAAACTAAGCTATAACACAGCATCTTTGTTCTGAATTTTCTGCTAGTGATTTCCCAATATATTTTCTCCTAAGAACATTGCTTGGGGAAGTTTTTTAATTAAATTGTTGATAGATATACTATAATGACTTTTACACATTGTTTACTAGGAATGTGATTGAGATTTCAAAAAGAAAGCAGTCCTCAGTTGCATTAATTATGTTTAAGATTCATTTACTTGGTAGTACCTGTTTGGTGCTCTGAAATTACTGACTACATAACAGTGTCAGTTAATATATACAGCACACAGACTTTGCAAGGTGGCACTTTTAATTGTCAGGCTACAATTATGCCAAGAAGAACAATATGGCAGGAGACATAAACCAGAAAGTACAGAAAGATTTCCCAAATCAAAAACTATAAATAACTTAATTGTAAAAGTTATCCCCCATATGTTAATATTTTATCCTTCGCTGCACAGTATCCTATTTTCCTCAGAAGAGGACACCAACCTAGACTGGCTGTTAGCCTTTGGACAGAACTAGCATATTTAACTACTTTTTTTCTCCTGGGAAACGTGGATTTGAAACTCATCAGAAAAAGATGTTTCACTCCCTGAGCGAGTGCTCCAGACACTTTGCAGTTCTGCAGCTGACAGGTGGAAATGCCTCCAACTGCAAAGGTCACTAAACCAGAATGAGCTGGGACCTCCCACACCCACTCAGAGACAACTTGGCGCTGGTTAAACGCAGCCTCTGCTGGGTCCCAACAACAGCCTTCTCTCTCCCCTGATCCCTACGGACAGTGGGTATTTTGCATTGGATGCCAGATTTCACTCCAGGCACAGTTTTTATTGGAACCATCACTGCATTGCCCCAGCAAGGCCACAGCTGGTGATTGCTTGGTGGTACAACACTGTGACCTTTCTCTGACTTTCTGAGTGTAAGTCATGCAGTCATGGTACTGTGGAATACAAAAAGCAAGGCTTTGCAGATCTCTCTCTGTACATTAGACTGCTACTTCTGTGAGCTACTGCATTGTAACTCCTGCACTGGCATCCTACTGAGGATTCAATTATTTTCAAAATACATTTCTCATTGCACTAGTGCCATTCCTGAAAGCTTTGGTGCTAGATTTGCTAAAAGGCCTCATATAATTTTATCTCTCTGTGGTGTCACAGTCTGATTTGGTATTACTGTATTGTACATTTATTCCAAATACTACCTAGTGCAACTTTGTCCACAACCTAAATTACTAATTTGTTACCATCACCTCAGTGTACTCTGACATTCTCAATGTGCTTGTCTCATATTGATGCTTTGGCTTGGAGCATTCTAAGTCCTCAGTCCCACTTAGCTACATATATTATAGATTAATACTTGAGCTCAGAGGGAGACCACCATTCTTTAGACTTGAAAACACGATTTTGGCAGTTATTTACTGGTTTTTTTACATCTTATTTTCAGAACTCAGTGATATGACTGATATGATATTTCAGAACAGTGATATGACCACTCACTGATGAGGAGATTTGAGCAGATTAGTGTTTTCTTAATTCAGAGCTGAATGGGGAAACCTAGAGAACAGACATGGATAAAACCAAGAGAATGGATGAAATCAGGATGAAACCTGATCCTGAGGGTTCCTGATCGAGGTCTTCCCTGCCTTTTGCAGGAACCCTTGGCCTTCCCTGGCCAACTCCAAATATTGTATTTTAGGGTAGGCTGCCACCAATCTAGATGTATATAGAGAAGGTCTGGTATATGCAACCAATCTGTCATATTTACCTATTAGTTGTTTGGCAGATTTTTTATTTTCAAAGCCACAAGAAAGGGGAGGGAGGGGAAGTGTGTTTTGTGTCTCTTTTACTGCATTTAAACAAGCTAAAGAAGCTTTCATCCAAAGTAAACCTCAGCTATGAATCATTAAAACATAGCTACAAATTATTAAAATTAAAATTGCAGGAAAATAATATTTTTTTCTTAATAAATACTTCAGAGAATAATAGGAAAAGAATTTTCTCATCATAGTTTCACAACATGAAAATGAAAAGAAGTTTCCAAGCTCACAGTTGGATATGCTGAACTGATTCTAGCTCATGTACCATAGCTGATGACAGTATTTCTGCAGTCAGAGTTTGAGCTGACCAGCTTCCTTTGTTCCCATGAGTGGGGAGGAGTAGAAGTTATTCCCTCAAGTGATTTTGAGTCTGAGCACTGCAGTTTCAACAGACTACCTCTGGACAGTTCTGCTGAATGTGCAATTTCTTGCATTTCACTTGGGCCATGACAAGCCAGCCTGAAGGATACAGTAATATCAAGATTCTGCTTTAAAACTAGTAAAAACAAAATTCTGCACTAAGGCTCTTTCAGCTGAACTGGCAACAAGGAAATTCTGCATTAAGGTTCTTCTAGCTTGATTGACTTCTGCCTATAGGCATAAAAGTGAAGTAATGCAGTAATAAATCATATCTTTCAAATTGTTATATTTTCCAGCATTCAATTAAAAAAAGGAACACTAAGTGGTCTTCCTGACACCTCTGAGCATCTGGTAAACAGCTGTGCATTTGGTGACGTTTCATCAGATGGCCTAACTGGCTAGCCAGAGCTATTTTTAATAGATTACTTTATCAAAAAGAAGAGAGTTCAATTGCTATTTTTGTACCACCTACCGGAACTCAAAAAGAGTTGAAATACTGATAAACACCAACAAAAACATTTACAGATTTGAAAAACTGGTCCATATGTTCTTATTCTTGTAGAAGTTTTAGAAGCACTTAAGGTCATATGGGGCAAAGATCCTCACAAGCTATGCTCTGAAAGGAGCAGAACTGCAAGGCAGGGTTTACTGAATCAGGGATAGCATTGCATCCATTAGGCTATATACAGCCTGGACCTGAGTTGTCCTGCATGAGACAGCTAAAAAGTTGACATTTTTAGTTGCATTCCTGTGCTCAGAATCAGCTTGAGAGCTTGTATTCCCTCAGCAATGGACATGCCTTTTCTCTCACTAAGAAGAGACATAACCCATGACTGTTGGTAGGAAGCAATTCTGTAAGCCTTAATAAGCTTTTTAGAATCTGGCCAAGGACATACTTTTTCTATGCACTTTTTTAAAAAGAAGAAACTTTTATAAAAAAAAAATTACTTTTTCAGTAAGATTGTGCTCTCCAGGTTTCCACTAGAAAGTCCCATTTCCTGGCAGTAGCATCACATTAAATGAGGAAAGGGACATGATTTTTAATCATCACACTGGATGATCCTTAAGGTCCCTTCCAACCAAAAGCACTATGGGCTGGAAGGGACCTTATTGGAAGGGACACTATTCTATGGTCTCCAGCTTTAGCTGAGATTTAGCTTAGATTGAAAGCATTTTTTAGGGGGAGACGGTGCAAATCATGTACTCTTAAATCACATTTTATTAGCCTTGCTCTCTCCACAGCATTTCTGGTGGCAGGAGTGCATGACAAGGCAACTCCTTAAGTTCACATCAGGTAATCCTAATAAGGAGAAGGAGCTGCATTGCCTGACATGAGAGCTCTACAGCCTTTTATTCTCACTGGGGGGAAGATTTTACACAATAGCAAGAAGATAATCCCTTTTGTCTTCCCACTTATGGCAATGAGAGTGTCATACACACAAATATATCAAACTGCCCTTCTGTAGAAGAATACAGTTCCTCTACCTACTCTGTCCATACTGAAGGCCATATTTTGCACAGGGATGAAGAAACAGCCCACCGAGACAAGCAAGGATAGAGGTGCTGTCACACACTGCTGCTCTCACAGAGGTGCTGTGTTTGATCCTCTCAGTGGAGAACTGATGAGCCATTGCTTTTGGCAAACAGGCGGGTAGGACCCCTCAAAAATAACAGGATGGGGGGACATGAGTTAGCCTGTTCCTCTCCAACATGGTCACAATGTGGAATTTTGGATTCCCTGTTGGATATTCAGCAGCTATTACAGATGTACATGAAAAACATGCTGCTATAATCTGGAGGTTTCCTTCCTTGAGTGTTGTTGCTGGAGATCAGAGCAGACATAGATGGTGAACTCTGGCATGGGAGAGAGAAGGAAAGACTTTTGCTTACCTCATTCTCTTAAAGTTTGCTTAATCTAGAATAAGAACTGCTGTTCCTTTACAGTGTGTATGACTGATTTTAACCTTCAAGGTCTGAGCCATAGCTCACTGAAGACAACAGAATTATGCCTACTGTCTAGAGCAAGCTCTATCAGGCCTTCAGCCTATAATATTAGCTCTCACCTTGTATAGCTAAATGAGTGAAAAGGAAGAGTTGGGCTATGACTTACATTTTTGACTAGGAAAATCACTATCCCATAGAATTTGGGAAGCAATGCAATTGCAATTCAATTTTGGTATCACACTGTCAAACAGAAAATAGATTTCACTCACTGAAGATCTGTTTTTCCCCTTCTGAGGTCAGTGATGGAATTGGAAGGGATATCAGTCTTCCTCTGACATGGGCAGAGATGAATATGCACACACACTTTTTATTTCATGCTAAGTGCTTGAAAAACAACATGAAAAGTTTCACAATTGTGAATAGCAGGAAGCTAGCATCAAGACATGGAGAAATGATCTTGAAAAGATGCATAAACTGCTTTTGGAGTGAATATTTCAAATCAAATGCTTGAGAAGCTTCCAGTATTTAAGAGTTTACACAACTTTCACATTAGAGCGGTTTCTAACCTGTCCAAATTTAATATCTTTCATCAGAATATTTCAGTTTTATTTATGTCATTCATATAATACTTTTAGAATGTAGGGTTTTTTTGGTCTGGAAATCCTTGCTTTTTATTACCACTCTTTACTAAAAAATGAAAAATTACTTCTACTAAAACCAACAGTAGTGAATTTCCAATTACCAAAATTCATACAGATCAATCTCATTAAAAACTACAATACTTGTAACTTCCTTTGTGGCACTGTAGTTATCTTTTGAAATTTCTCAATCAATCTTCAATTTCTTTTTTCTAAAGAGTATACTTCTGTGCAGATCAATATGACTCATGAAAATATGTTATATGTTGCTGTGCACAAAGGAAAGCATTGGTGAGTCTTACTGCAGCAGCCCAGGAGGCTATAAAATGCAATTTGCACCACAATGTGCATCAATTCTCCCAATTTTTTCTTAATACATATTGGAAAAGCATACGTCTATCCTCAGTAATCAAACTGGCACTGCAGACATCTTACAACACGTGCCTAATCAATGTTTCACAGTATTTACTGTCAGCACAAAATTCTTTACCTGAACAGTGTATTATAAAACACCGGCTTAGGTCTTCACAGCCAGTTTTTCATCTTTTATCTGGGTATTTTAACTGTTGTCATAACTTGTAGTTAATGTTCACACAATGCCTTTGAATGTACAACCAACCAATGGACATAATCCACATTCCTGGCAGCACTGGCATCTAGTGGAGGAATCCAATATAGCACAGTAGAAAATGTGCCAATAAAATATATTCTGGTAAATTCTTTTACAAACTTGAATTACTGCTAAATCTTACTAGAAGTCATGGTCATACATATTGTGCATAAACATATCCATCTCTATTAGTATAATGACATCACACTGCTTTGTTTTATTATGATCTCATACTGTACATTTTAATATTAATAATCTGTGCCCCCTGTGTAGGCATCATCTAAACACAAGAAATAGTGAAACTGATGTCTATATGAAATTCATACCAAGTCAGGTGAAAACAAGCTGTAAATGCAAATATGTAAAAACATAGCAAAAAAGATTCAAAAAGATAATGAGGACACATAATTTTAAGTCCTCCAAATCTTGGGCTCCTGTCCTGCTCCTTCCACCTTGATAATGTCTCCTCACAGTGCTGTTGTTCCACGTGCTGCTCTGGATTAATTTACAGATGAGGAGATAAAACTTCCTGAATACCTACGGCCTTCAGGCTGCTTCTAGTCTACCTAACAGATGGTCAGGAAAATCAGGCCCCCTTGGCTGACCAGAGGTATTTGTGAACACTGCAGTGCAAACCTGAACAGCTCAGCACTGGTGGGAATCAAGGCTTTCAGACACTGTCATCTCCACCATGACTGTTAAATGCCCAGTAAATAGGAGTCATGGCACTGCCTGTAAAAATATGGTGTGGTCTCTTTTATAGAATTTCTCATCAAGATATTTGGTAAAGTCTTGCAGACAAACTTGAGAGAAAAGAACAGTAGATTATTTATTGTCTTGAACCGGTCACATAATTTTTAATGAAATAATGCTGTCCTGGCCATCACTTTCACCTTGGAGGTACATTACGAAGAGAAAAGAGTTTGCTCTGGGGAGAAGGGAAGGTCTCAATTCTAGTTGCTGCTCTTACACACTGCTCCCCTTGAGCCCAACAATATACAGACAAACAGACAGACAGACAGACACACACAAAATTTAGAAATTCACCCATGATCTAAGGCTTATAACACCCATGAAATTAAGACGCTAATGCTGTGTTTGGTTTTCCTTGACCCTTCCCCCAGTGCCATTGTCCAAGCACAAAAGAATCAGGACTTTTACCTTCCCTTCGTGCATTACTTATCACCTTTGCTGAAGATTTACTCATTACGTGGACTACATAAAGGGGGCAGTTCACAGCATTTGCTATGGTAATCGCTCTTTGTGTAGCTTCAGCTTCCACTTCCTCAGGACGACACAGTTCGTGACCCTCAGGGCCGGTTATTCCCATTGCCAGCATTTTCTTTGCGCCCTGAAGACCACACAAAAGCCATGCAAGAGTCAGTTAAAATGTATCTATGTTGTCATGAGCATGCTGCCAGTAAAGTGGACTCTGAAGCAGCCATTGCAGCCTGTTCAAGGGAAAAAAATAACTAGGCAGTTGTGATTTTTTTCCAAAAGGAGTTACTGTAGTTTTATCTGAAATCTAATATATCTCTCAATAAACTCAGGTGTCAGAATATTTAAGTAAATTCAGAGAATACACTTCACTGACTTGCAGGATTAAATCACTGCTCTTGAAAACCCTACCCCTCTCTCAATATGTACACTTAAATATCATGGCAAATGATGTCCCATGATGCTACTAACCCTCACTGAGAGAAAAAAAGGAAAAATTCTTACTAAGCACAAAGATGCATATCCAGAACCTCTGAAAACTCCAAGAGACAAAGAGGCTTTAAGAGGCAAAAAGGTTTTGTAGCTACACTGTTCCAGGAATTTAAGGTCTGCTGATTTGAGATTATTTAGCGATGAATTACTTTCCCTTATCTGACATGGGGCAGAGTCAAAGCGCTGCCCCATGGAATAGTTGAAGAAACTATTTTATTACAGCCACTGTAGTCACCACTGATGTCGAGTATTACCAGAGTAGTTATACCCTCAGGGGCCCAGAGCTCTCAGTGCCCCCACGCAGCACTAAGGTGACAGTGGCAAGTATGAGGTGAAGCGAACTATGCATAGAGGGATGTTCAGACTGCTGTGCCCAGTCAGTGAAGCTTTCTCCATACTTCTGGATCTGCTCCTGTTACATGAGCTGACTATGTCTGGAGAGACCTAGGGCTAGGACCATCTATATTCCTGACTTTGATGGACAGAATGTCAAATGTGCACCTGTGCAATTAGCTCCCCATTCTCCGCATGGACTTGAGCAACTGCCCCAAGTTCCTTACAGCAGGAAAAGGCTTCATATAGCTCCTCATCATTGACCATGTATATATCTTTATAGGCCATAAACATCTTGAAGGAGTTGACACCTTTGTTTTGAACAAGACTTTCCATTTCTTGCTTCACCTGAAAAATACAGCAATTATATTATACATATTAATAATTTTGTATAAGGAAATTGTATGTATGAAGGGTGAACCTTTACTCACCCATCAAATGTATGTTCAGTACAAATAGCCCAAGTCACATATTTAAAGACTGGTTTAGACTATTCTTCTTGTATCAAATTGATTCTCAAAGTATATAAAAGGGTAACACTGCAGTGCAAATATTGGAAGTACAAGCTAATTGTAGGATAGAATGATTTTTACAAAAGGTAATGAGGCACAATTTTATTTCAAATAAACCTCCTGATGTTGAAAACACTCATTCCAATATTACGGTCGAGTGTCCAACTCACACAACATGGACATTTATGCAAAACCAATTTTCAAAATTGGATTGCAATGGGACGCAGCTTGTAGCAAACAACACAGTGACAGAAAAGATTTCATCTTTTAGAGCTTTGTCCTGACTTTAAACAACACACACAGCCTTTTGAAACATTTTGTTGTCAAACAAAACATCTCCAAAATGCTATGTGCAGGCCTGCCTTTTTTTTTTTTTTTTTTTTTTTTTTTAATTCTTTATTCACTGCTTGTTAGGATTCCCTGGTTCTGCTAGAGGTTCAGCAAAACATTTCATCACAAAGAAACAAAGACACATATTTTAGTCTTAAGGCTTCTTGCACAACTGGTTAGCTAGAAACATATATTACATAACTTTGGCTCTCCCTTCCCAGTAAAAGGATGGTTACAGTAATTTATATGTATCTATAATTCTATTACAATTTCCATGGGATTAATTCCTTTCAAGAAGTAAGATATTATTTTTCATCTTCTCTCTAATAAACCAGTTGAGTCTGCCCAAGAAGGGTAAGATATATAAAAAACTCAAGGAATTTTTTTTAGTTATCCAGAGGAGGGATGAAGCACATCATGAGTGGGAGTTATCAAGGCCCTGCTCTGGCACAAATATAGAGGCATGTCATTTATCCTTTTCACAGTTTACTACAACTAACAGAAGGCATTGTAAAGTATGTATGCTTTTAATTAATAGTTCAAATCCGTGTGAGATGAGAGCTGATCAGATGGGTATGACATATCAGTCTTTTTAACCCAGGCCTTTTACTACTACAAAATGCCCAACCTATTTCTTTTAATCTTGGCCTTTAAAAACAGTTACATTCTTAATATAAACTAGAACATTTCATTGATTTACATCTCCCTATTTTTATTTGATTTGTCAATACAATTCCACTATTGTCTGCTGAGGCTCTTTCAAATGCACATTACTCAGATTTCATTGGAGAATTTATTTCATGACTTTGCCTTAAGTTAGAAGTTGTGGTCAGCCTATTTTAGCATTCAGTACACAGAATACCAAAGATGTGTTTGCAGAGTGAATGCTTTGGTGAATATATTCTAGAATTTAAAAATTAGAGGTACTCATATATAAAATAGGAATTTACTTAATATATCTGTGTACTGATGCATAGCTCTCTGAGAATCCAAAGTCATCTTGTAAATCATGGGTCTCATTCCCATAGATATCAAGCACCTGAAAAATTAATTTCTCAGTAAATCTTTCAGGCTGTCAGCAAACATTCACTCAGCAAAGGTGATTCTCAGATATGTAAATTCAAAAAATGATTTTTTTAGATTAGTTCACATTCAATGTACTATTGGCTACAGTCCTGCTTTACTTTAAACAGGTTTTACTGCAGCCATCCAGGAAGTCTTCCTCTACAAATGAAGTCAAGTACCATATTTTTTATGTATACACTTATAAAAAAAACAACTAAAACCACCAAAACTCATCTGAAGCACAAAATATCAAGTGTTCAAGCAACAAAAGTCAAAATTATTGTAAACACCTCTTTCCCCATCAGACCTGCCTGGTCTTGGTCTCGTACAATCCCTACCTTTAACTCTGTGCAGTATTATCCAGAGATACAGGCTATCTGCAGACTTCTTTCAAATACATATACTCTCAGAAGGGTGTGGGCTATTTCAAATATTGTTTTTAATCACAAAACCACTAACCAGCAAGCAATATTTAGCATGGAAGACTGATTCCAAGCAGGTGTGGCACAGATTTACGGAATTTAAAATCAGCTCTTGTGTCTACCTTGTTGCTCCACCAGGTAACTGCCACGTGCAATGAATAATCACAGCAGACTTTAGGGTCTGCCCAGCTTTTCCATGTATCAAAGGCTTCAGTAAGAGAACAACCTTTCTGAGGGATGGCAAAGTCGATGATCATAGTGGTTCCTCCTGCTATAGCTGCCTGAAAAGAATAAAGTTAATATTTAGCAATCAGAAAGAATGCAAATTTCCTCCTACCCTCTCCAATTCCCTTACATCAATTAATCTGGATACACTGAAAAGCCAAAAGCCACTGAGGAGTTCCACTGAGTAAAGTCCAGACTCAAAATATTATTATGGAGATTAATTTAATTTGCTTTGAGAATGCAAGTGAAATTCTGACACTGGAGGAGAAGTTTCTCTTCATGTACGAAAACTTATCAAAGAATTGGAGATGTGTCTGTAGTGTTTATGCATCAGTGAGTTTCCTCAAGTGTGTGGAATCACTGAGGAAGAAGAGCACTAGAAAAGTCAACTTGAGACTTGCTTCCTCAGAGTCTAGGTAGTGGAAAAAACAAGCCTGAGTGACAGGCAAGTATTAAGGGGCAACTACACAACAACAACAACAAAAAGCCCCATTGAGTTTGAAAATACAATATGAAAACCCCCAAACTCTTGTCTAATGCCAAAATATTTTAGAAGTGCTTAAAAGTATATTTTTATTAGAAACAGAATATCATTTAGTAAAACTGTATAGAGGGTTTTAAATAGAATGAGGAATTTACATCCTCTACATAATGTTGTCAAGTAATAAAATAAACTACAACCTTACTTAACAGGTGAATGATTATCAAAAATTGCTTTTTAACCAAAAATTTCCACTCTTATTTATGGACATCTGAATTATTACTTCTCTTGACTTTGGAGGGAAAAAAAGTCACTCAAATGCTAGATCTTTGACTAAAAGAAATTGATCCAGTACAGAAATTCCTTTGTTGAAATTGTTGCTTTCTTCCAGATTAGCAAAAGAAATCCTGTCTATTGCTCTGAACAATGTCTCTTTGCAAAACAGCAACAACCAATTCAGATCAAAACATGCACAGCTCAAATTCACAGGATCAGAGAATCACAGAATTAGCTAGGTTCGAAAAGAGCTTTGAGATCAAGTCCAACCTATGACCTAGCACCAACTTCTCAATTAAACCATGGCACTAAGTGACACATCCACTCATCCTTAAAACACCTCCAGGGACGGTGACTCCACCACCTCCCTAGGCAGCCCATTCCAGTGCCCAATCATTCCTTCTGTGAAGAATTTTTCCTTAACGTCCAGCCTAAACTTCCCCTGGTGCAGATTAAGACTGTGTCCTCTTGTGCTGTCACTTGTTGCCTGGGGGACCAAGCCCCACCTGGCTGCACCCTCCTTTCAGGGAGCTGCAGAGACCTGAGGTCTCCCCTGAGCCTCCTCCCGGCTGAACAGCCCCAGCTCCCTCAGCTGCTCCTCACAGGGCTTGTGTTCCAGACCCTTCAGCAGCCTTGCTGCCCTTCTCTGGATGCATTTGAGAACCTCAGTGCTCTTCCTGAATTGAGGGGCTCAGGACTGGACACAGCACTCCAGGTGTCAGGCCTCACCAGTGCCCAGTACAGGAATGACCTCCCTGCTCCTGCTGGACACACTAGTGCTGACAGAGGCCAGGATGCCACTGCCCTTCTTGGCCACTGGGCACACCCTGGCTCACGTTCAGTCTGTTGTCAGCCCCACATCCCCTGGGCACTGTCCAGCCACTCTGTCCCCAGCCTGTAACGCTTCAGGGGGTTGTTGTGGCCAAAGAGCAGCACCCTGCACTTGGACTTGTTAAACCTTGTATTGTTGGACTTGCCCCATCTATCCAGCCTGTCCAGGTCCCTCATGCTATATTACTCTTCCTTTTTGTACGACAATTAGTCTCTTTCTTCCTTCTGTTCACTTAGAAATCAGAAGAATAATTATAAATATGTCAGTATATTTTGCAAAAAGAGAAGTTTGGAGAGTGACACAAGTATTTGTAATCTCTAATGAATTGAGCAAAACATTTTCTCCAGGAAAAGTTGTTCAAACTGTCAAATATTTTTCATCAGGACTGATTGACTTATTTGTTAAACAGGATTTAAAGAAAATTTATAGACTTAAAAAAAAAAAAAAGTCATGGGTTCCACAACTCCACTTGAAGTCTCTTTTTATTCCCTACATCTTTTTCCTCCTCTATCTGTAAAGCAAGCAGCCTTTACTTATTCAACTGAATGGGTAAATCTGAGCTAATCATTGTAGCATATTTTGCAATAGCTGGAATACAACTCTTTCTCACTGAATTTCTTGCCAAAATATTTGTCAGAGGATGACCTTCAGTGAATAGGTCTGAACACTTTCCACACTTTGACCTGGGTTAACGATAGCCATAGTATCTAACTTTTTGACATCTCATTGCTAAGCTGGATCTAGAATTTTCTTGTAGGTACTGAAGTGGCATCTGGATATCCTGTTTTGTGTACGCAGCCTCTGTTTTGCAGCTTCCCTGACCTATAAGTATCTCAGAGTTACTCAGAAAACCTTAAAAACTTATTTTCTGCTTTTTAGTAAACCCCAGTTCTCCTGTGAGAGGAACTGGGTATAACAATCTCTGTGAAGGTGATGGCTAGCATACAAGCCAAGCAGGGCAATGCAATCCTTTCTGTGAACAAAGGATTTCAGTCTGCACAACAAAGCTCTTAGAAAATTGCCTTGAAAATTTTGTTTATGGAAACTGTATGGAGATGATGCATAATACTGTTAATATGAGTAATTGATACACTATTCATATTCAGGGAATATAATAAGATCAGCTAAAAAGCTGAAAAAAACCACACTCCAAGTGTAAAACTGGGAGAAATTACGTACTTTCATAAAGTGTATTTGAAGTGGACTTTCACTGAGAGACACAGTAAGCACCAAAGTGAATGACAGAAGAAAAGGCTTCATTCCCTCATGCTAACAGAGGAAAAAGATCAGATTACCACAGAAGTGGTTAAACAGCACAGGGGAATTAAACTGTTGCTTTAGTTAACCTTTGCTCAGAAAAGTATGAAGCTTGATGCATGTACCAAAGCAGGTTGTAGTCTGCATGCTGACAGTCAGGGTAAATGCCTGCCCCACTTGATCCCCGCAATCACAATAGTTTCTGGAGGAGCCCAAATAACATACTGGTTGGGGGTGACCTCTGAGTACCCCAACTGCTTTATGACAATGTCCCAGTCAAAGGGACAGGAATAACTGGCAATGCCTGATTCACATTCTATTCTCTCTTTTAGAAATAATACTGGACAACCAGCAGGCACCCCTCACTGAGAAAGCCCAGATGCACACACAGACGTGCACTTGTGCACCCACCTTGGTTCCAGTGTAGAAGTCATCTTTTGACCTGCTACCCATGAAAGGGAACTCCATGTGTGTGTGAGTATCAATGCCCCCAGGGATCACCAGCTTGTTGGTCGCATCCAGCACCACAAGTCCAGTCGAGGGTTCCGGGTTTAGGTTTGGTCCCACCTGCTGCACCACTCCATCTTCCACGTACACATCAGCCACCACAGAGAGGTCAGCATTCACAACTTTTCCCCCTTTGATCAAAAGTCTCTGCCGAGCCCGGGTTTGGGGTGGCATGCCAGCAGGTGAGAGTGAGGCCTCAGCTCAGAAAGCTGCTCTTGCCTCAGCGAACTTCACTGCCCCTCCTCCCGGAGCAGCAGCTCTCTCCAAATGGCCCCAAACACAGACCACATCATGCTCTTTAAACAGACACCAGAGGAACTGCCCCTCTGCCCCCGGAGCTCCACCTCCCTCCTCCCGTGCAGCCCAGTGACACGCATGGGAGCAGGCGCCGGCCTTGGGCCCTTTCTGCTCCGGACTCTGCCTGGACAAAGCGAGCCAGGCTTTCAGGGGGTCTGGGATGTTCTCATAGCACACACTCCAGCCTGCCCACTGCACCCGGGGATTTGCAGTTTGCTGAGCTGCTTTGAAAATGTGGCTATTTTTCATCTTGTGATGCCCAAAAGCAAACTAAGTTCTTTGCAGCCATATTTGAGGAAACCAAGGGTGACCTGAACTCTTCACAGAAGCAGCCAGAGCCCAGGGGTGACCTGAGCTTCCTGCAGCCATGTTGGGGAGCCCGTGGGTCCAGCCCGTGGGTCCAGCCCGTGGGTCCAGCCCGTGCAGAGGGAAAGGCAGAGTGCAGTGCTCTGGTGACCCAAGTGCTGCATCCTTCTCAGTGGAGATGGTGAGGTCCACACTGCTCTCAAGATGTTTCTCAAAGGATTTGGGACACACCACCCTCAGGATCCAAGCACGGCTTCCCGCTGCCACTGCAATGACACCACATAGCGCTCTGGCCTGAGGGGGAAGCCGGGGTGTGTGTGTGTGTGCCACCATCCAGGTGAAAATCTCATTTCCGTACCGGATGCTCCATCTGCCCCACGGCCCTGCTGTGCCCGCCCGGCAGGCCCGGCCTGTGCCCGCCATGCCCCTGGCGCTGCTGCCCACACGAGCACTGCCGGCCCCGGCTCTGCCGGCCCCTAGGATCCCCCCACCCCATGGGAGCCCTTCCCGAGCCCAGGGGAAAGTCAGGACCTTCTGTGCTGGGTTTCACACAAGGCTGGTGTGACCTTGTCAGGATGTGTTTCAGAATATACACCAGTAAAAAGAGGTTGGAAAGTAAAACGAAGACAACTGAAAAATGAGCTAAAGACCATCACAGAAGAGGAAAGACCTGCTCTGTACCATCTCAGAGGCACTAGTTTCTATGGCATTTTCCCAATTCTCCCATAACCCTGGATTTGCAAACTCAGAAGTCTCTTAAGTGTGTCCCTAAACCTGCATCTTGCACCTTGCATCTTCATCCCCTCGCCTCTTCCAGTTCAGTGGTGATGATTTAGCAAGATAGAACATTGTCTCTGAGGAATGTGAGAGGGTACCAAATAGTACCACACAGGATACCAAAAAGCCATTTAGACAAAGGACACAAGATTTGGAAAAATCTCACCTTCCCATCAGCATGTCACCTTTGTTCCTTCTCTTATGATGGGTAAGAGAGCATTACTATAAATGTAACTTTTCTATCTGCTCTTCCCAAAGTGTCTTGTCTTACACATCACCTTTGTGCAATGGAACAGAGATTCATAACCTGACGCAGCAACAAAACAGGTCAAAACTCATTTGGAAAAGCAGCTTCACTTTGCATAAATTAAGTGACCTTTGTTAAGTGAGGAGAGGAGGTAGCAAAGTCAGAGGTTCATCTGATGATGTGGTGTACAGCAGTTAAGTTCCTATGCCCACCCCAATGGATATTTAATGATTTGATGTAGAAGAGCATGAACAGATTTTACAGTATTTATTGACAAAGAGACTTCACCCTGAAATTTCAGTACCACTTCAGTACCTAAACTGCCAACCTAAAATAGTCACTTTCTTGTAATTTCCCCCTGGCCAATGACTACTTAGTATTTTCTGTGACAGGAGTTTTGACATGACAGACTCAGACAGTCATCTCTGAGTATGCTCTTGGGCTAGTGGCAGTCGTAAACTGTTTCTTCCTGAATCCTTCTGCCAAACTGGGCAGAGGGAGATCTGAAGGCAGATCGTGGTGTGCACTGGGATAGCCAGTTCCCTTTTTGTGTGTGTTGCACAGGAAAGAGCTGATACAACTTTCATACATAAATGCATGAAGAGTAGCACAGCTCAAAGTCCTATTTACATCTGTTTCTGCACAAGAATAGGCTTGAACTCTGTTTCCCCTCCTCTGATTTCCTCCTGGATATTTTAGACTTGTGGATCCTACTCTTAAATGCTTAAACCTTCCTATCTGTAACTTCATGCCCAGTTCAGAATTACAGAGCTGCCCACAAACCCGCAAAAAGACATCTTACAATGCTGTGCCTAGGAAAACTGAATTTATCCCACAGGTGGTTTTGAACACATTAAATAACATACTGGTATATAACAAGATTCTGTCTAAGCAGCCCTTTTATTTAAACCATTTGGACCAAAAAGATAATATCACATCAGTTGCATTTATATATATTTGGTAAATATTTAATATTCCACAGCTCAGATGTTCCTAGGAAAAATAGCCTAAAGTACCACTGGTGGAACAGAAATAATATTTAAAATACTCAGAGAAGACAACTGGTCCTACATTCTTAGTGATCACTGAATATCTACTGCTGCTTCAACAGGGCTTCAGGCTCCCAATTGACTTTGCAGTATTTACTTACCGACAAAACATTTTACCTTTTTATCCTTCTCTTTGCAGTGTTTCAAACAAATCTTTGCCCCGTAATCAATGTTTGACTCTGCTCTGTTGCAGTGGTCTGGGCTGGGAGAGAGTTAAACTCTGTCACAGTACCTGGTATTGCTGTGTTTTGCATCTGTGCTGAAGGCACTGTTGGGAACAAAGGAAAGTTCTCACTGGTGCTGAGCAGCACCTGCACTATGTCAAGGGCTTTTCTGCATCTCATACTGCCCCACCAGTGAGGAGGCTGGGGGTGCACAAGGAGCTCGAAGGGAACAAAGCCATGACAGCTGACCCCTACTGACCACAAGAACACCTCTGGCCATATGGTGTCACACTCAGCATGCAAAGCTGGGGAAAGAAGAAGGAAGGGGAGGGACATTCAGCATATACAGCACTTGTCTTCCCAAGACACAGTTAGTGGATGGTGGAGATCTGCTTTTCTGGAGATGGCAGAACATCTGCCTGCCCCTGCAAAATGAGGGATGAATTAGTTTTGCTTCACTCACAAGTGCAACTTTTGCTTTACCTATTAAACTGTCATGATCTCAAACCCACGAGTTTTCACACTACCACCCTTCCAAGTCGATTGAGTGAGTGGCTGTGCAGTGATCAAATACTGGCTGGGCTTAAACCACAACCCTGCAGAGAAGTTTCCTGTTAGGAAACATTTACTGAGCCTAAAGTGTTACATAGTAGCTCAACAATTTGAGAGCCATTGCAGAAAGTCTTCCCAAACTCACAAATCTGAAGCTGAATCATGTGCTAATGCTTTTGCTGTGTCTAGCAAAGCAAATAATCCTAGAAATCTAAATATGGAGTGCCTTGTTTAGTGTAACTATCACAGAAATACAATCATAAGAGGTTTCTCAGTAGCCTAATGATTAACTGATTCCATTTGAACAACCCTGAAAGAAACACAATCCACATCCGTGATTTACCAAATGAAAATAATTTAGCAAATCTAGGAATAAGTTTGCAAGAAACAGGACTGAAATTTGGAACATCCAGCAAACCTTGAGGACATCTAAAAGTCATTATAATGCAGACACCATCAGTTTAAAGTCTTCTGAGACACACAAACTCTCACCACTTCATCCTGGAACCTTTAACTGCTACCTGCCTGCATAAAATCCTATTTAAGTTATCCTTTAATTATCACACCTTACTCTTATCTTTCATTTGCTTCCAATTTCACATTCTTCTTACCATACCCTAGTGCTGTAAAGCTCTTCTACTATCACACAGTCTTCAGCTTTTTCTTAACTCCAGGACTCTTACTAGCATTAACCTTCAAATTAAAGTTGGGGAAGCTGAAAAGTATCTCAAAATGCAGGAGCAGCAGACAAATAGGCTTTTGAAAAAACAGACACTTTGTGAAGGAAGCTAGAGGTTGATAATGAGCAGCAGAAAGAAAGCTCAGCTAATGAAGATGTGCGGTTAATAATATTTCTTATTTTTGACAACTTTCCGCCAATGTGGATCATGAACCACATTTGCAATGTGAGAAAATTAACAAAAATGGTACCAACAGCTTTCAGTAATGATGGATAAAGCAGTAGGTTTTGGAGAATTGGTGAGTTTAAGGTGCACTCTGGATTTGCGGAAAGAATGATTACCTTTTGCCATATTCAGAAAGTCAGAAGGACTGAATACTCAGTAGGCATTTCTTCCAACTCCTATAAAAATCCATAATGCCTGTTCACCTGGGTTTTGCTTTCACACTCCTCTTCTCTGCAGTGGGAATTTAATAAAATTCAAGTCAATAAAACCAGATGGTCTAAATGTAATTGCACCTGTAAAGTCTTTGCAATTGTGAGACGAGTCAGGTGCCCTTGTCAAAACCTCACAAGTTTTCAGAAGAGTCTGCTGGCTACTTTCATGAGATGGATTTTCAGACACAAACAAGTAATGAGGTTTCAAAACCAAAGCTCTCAAGCCTTCTTCAGCTGTAAAAGCTTTCCAAAACTAGCAAGCATGCCCCATGGTTTTCTATAACAAAAGAAGGCTAAAGAACTTTAAGAAAGGTGTTCAATCCTCTAGTTCCACATAACCTGTACTATAAAAATGCTCTCCTAAGTACTGAGCTACATCCAAGATCCTAGTGCCAGTCTTTCCACAAATACATTAGCAGTGATGAAGCCTATCAGCATCCAGCCTTGGGCCCCACACGTGTGACACCAAGGAAGGCAGCCAAAGGTGTGTGTGCTGAAGACCATTCTGCTTTTTAGAGAAACAATAAGTAGTGACTGTTCTCCCCTTTTCATAAGGCAAACTGCCTCCTCCTCTTGGATCAACACAAATGGTGAACCACAGACAGTAAAACCAATAAAGAAAAAGGAATGACCAGGAATTCAGCAGAGGATCAACAAAGAAGCCA